CAAATGCAAGTTGAAGAAATGTTTATTTGGAAATAAAACGAAAGAAAGCGTCACGCTCGATTGCGCCAATTTCGCTACTCGAGGACTATTACTAATGGTCCTCTGGTAGTGTAGCCAATTAAAACGCAGGATTTGCATTAGTCCACTAGTTGGGTGATACCAAATAATGATATCAGATATTTGCAGTTTTAAGTAGAGGTGGTATTCATTAAAATTAATAGTCTGTCATGTAAAAGATACCACTCCCAGCCAGGTAAAGCAACCAATAGGTGAAGAAACCACCAAATATAAACAACGGGTACAGTTACCTCGATCAGCAGTAAAAGAAAACTTACTATAGTGTTTCTGTTTTATTTCTGAAGATATCTCCTGAGACTCCATTGATAAAAGCCTTTCACATGTTTGCTGAAAAGAGAGTTTCTGCTTTGCCAGTTGTGGATGATAACGGTATGGAATATTATTTTTTTGTATGTTGACCTCTTTTTTGCTGGTTTGTTTGAGAGAAGAATGATATCCTTATCTGAAGGAACTGAAGGACTACTGTATGCGGTATTGGTCTCAACAGATAGGCCCTGACTGGTGATGTTTACTCTCATAATAATTCCTTGAGTTTTTCTTTCAGGTGTTGTCGTTGATATTTATGCAAGATTTGACGTCATTGTAAGTACCTGATTAACCTTTCGAGGCAGAAGTAATTTTGACTAACACCTTTGTCTTTATTAAGCCTCGTGTTAAATAACAAACATGAACCCTGACTCAATACAAACACAGAACTAAAACAAGCCGGCACAGTAATCGAAATTTCAATTCTTTTCTCGCAGCATTTCCATTGCCCCAAACTTCTATAACTCGACAGAAATACGAAGAAATTGTTTTCTATTGCTAATAGAGCGGTTTTCAATTGAGTGTCGAAAGTAATCATGCAATTACTTTGGTGTTAGATTGGTTGAGTAGTCTAATTGGTAAGTAACTGGTTTGGTTTTGGTTTTACGAAACTCAATTGAAAACCACTCTACATTACGGTGTACATATCAATAGCTGTACCCTTTTACATCAAAGTTTTAATATGAAGAGCATTCCTTGTGTACAGATAAATAGTATTTTTTCACCGTTTTATCTGATAGGGGGAATGCTAAACTAAGTGACAAGAAGTCCTTACAAAAACATTGCACATTGTTTTTTGTATACAGAACTTGTCATACAAACGTAAAACCGGTATAAATTAAGGTTATCACAACAGAGCAATCGCAGCAAACGCATCTAACACAATGAACCAATCAGAATTCGAAACAAAAACACGTACTTGGTGCCAAGCGCGGGAAAATGTGCGTACATCCAATTAGAATTGGGTTTGGTGTTGTTTCTGATTGGTTGAAAGAAAGAGTTTGTTAATCTGATTGGTTAATGTGTGCATTGCAGAGCGAAAGCAAACGCTCGTAAATCCTTTGAGCAGTAAATTGAAATCAGTTACGTGGTTTAGTTATATAATAAGTTATATGAATTTTGTTTTAGAATTTGGCTGCTGAAAAGACGTACAACAATCTGGATGTGACTGTAAAACAGGCCCTGCAACACAGATCAGAGGTATTTTAACCATTGCAAAGACTGTTGCGGTGTTCTTGTTGGATTCTGAGAGTTTTACATTACCTTAGGCTTCATCTTTACGTTAATAGTTGTAGAGGTAACATGCTATGTGATGAATGATGCGTCGTGAAAAATATCTTCTCTAGCTTCTTCTAGCAATGTTGTTGTATGTAATCCGTCTAAACCTTTCCAGTCTCAAACATCCTTGTCCCCTTTCGGGTTGTAATTACCTTGTTGGCATTTGTCTACCCCAATATATAGTGAATTGCAGTATTTTTTTGTATTGCAATAGTTGTTTATGGTTCGTAATCTTTCTTTGATTTGAAGGGATTCGAAGGAGTTCATAAATGTTACTTAGATGAAACTCTTCACACCATAATCGATAGATTGACCGATGCGGGGGTGAGACACATTTTCTTCATTTTGACATCTTTTGATGGCTGATTATTTTTGAATTTCTGACATCTCGTTTGTACTAATGGTAATCTCGGTTGGCAGGTTCATCGTCTAGTTATTGTTGACAAAGACAATCGCTGCATTGGAGTGTTGTCGCTGTCAGATATCCTCAAGTTTTTGGTTTTACGGCCTCTGGGTAAGTGTTCTTTTGTTTGTTTGTAACGTTATTGTGTTTGTTGTTAGGGGAACCGCTTGTCAAGGACGGCGTATCAAAGAATTGGCCAATTTTTCAAGTTTGAAGGTCGCAATCCTTTCAAATTTTGCTCATTCGTAACGATTCTTGTTTATATTTGGTTTGTTATCACATCTTTGGTGTTTCCCTAACTTAGAAAACCTTTCTTTTTACGTTCCTTCATTTTGAAAGTAACAGACCATGTCTAAGAAGTTTTGGCTTTAGGGAGGGGAAGGTTAAGTTGAGTTGTTAATCATCGCCTCCTTCGTTTACTTTACAGCATCAAGTCACCTGAATCATTCCCATGGTTCAATGCAGGCTTCAGCGTAATCGATTGATCAGGAAATAAATACAGTATTTGTGTTGGCATAACAGGGGGAAGATGGAGATTCTATTCTTCAAGAAGCGTAAATATAAACAGGGAAATAAGACTGAGCCGATGAGGCTGTTAGCTGACGATGGTATTTTAAAGATAAAAGGTGAAATGATCTGTTTTCCTTTGGAACGAGTAGGCCTCCTTCAACGAGACGTTCCGTATTTACACGCTTCATTGTAACATTTATTTGACTCGTAGACATTTCCTAAAAATACCATGATTCTCTTCAATTTGGAGGCTCGGCTTGTCACGCATGCCTCCCTAACGAGCGTGAGGGAGGTAAAATTGCGTGACGAGTCTAAAGAGTGTCTGCGTAGGAAGCTTGTTTTGCGTGACACGCACAGCTCCACGGATAAAGCTCATTGTAAATGCACACCTCCGGAATACGGGGAAGTAAAAGGTGTATTGTGGTGTTTTTAGGAAAGTGCTATAGAGAGCCTTGGCATGTAATGGCGTCACGATTCTGTCTTACCCTCCTCCACGGACATTTCTCAGAGAGACTGAAAAGTAGAGAGGAAGCTGGGAGAGATTGAAGGGTTTGAGGAGGGGTGGCCATCAGATAGGGTGATCCGAAGGTGTTGCTTAGCATTTCTAAGGCGGAATATCCGATTAGATTGTACGGGGCTTAAAAAAACGAGTCGGAGTATAGAAACGTTTTGGTGATTGAGTTTTAGCAACTTTCTGCATCTTAGGTTTGGTGATTATTTTTGGCAAGGGAAAGCGGCTACCTACCATCAGAGCACCCCATCTGATCGAATCCGCAACGAGGTCGTTGTTTCGGACTTCGTAGACAGCAATCAGAAGTTTAATGTTTTATTTTGCCTTTTGACACGCTTCTTCTCCTCAAGGATGTTATTTTGATGTTTATAGTTTAATAAAACGGACTTAGTGATGTCCAGAACTTCTGGTTGCTTGAGGTTCTCCTTGGAAGGAGGCAGAAATTATAAATGGTCGTTCCTCGTATTCTTTTCACCCAGTCGTCTTTATTCCCCCGTGTCAATTTTCGTCAGCGAGGACTGGGGACGATTCAGCTTCTCTCTCGGTCGAGTTGTCTGTGGAGGAGGTTAATTTAGCTTTATGCTTGGCCTCGTGTACAGAATAAGAAAATGTTTGGCCCATAGATTTAAAAAGCGTAGTGTGAAATGCTGCTAATCAACGCTTGGCATTTTGTAGTTGAGATAATTATTAGTTAAACTGTAGAAAGGAGTTTATCGTTGCTGACCTCGTCAAAAGTAGAATACGATTATGAAACGTGGACATGTTGTAAGCTGGACAGAAATGTATTAGAGTGATTTCAAATCGTCTGATGCAAGTAGTAGGCCATTTCCGAGTGGCCAAAAACAGTCTTTGTGCGAAACCATTCATATGACAATGCGTTCCGCCTACAGGTTCATTTTTATGCAAGTGAAACTTGTTTTCATATGAAAGGTTTTGCACGGGGACTCGTTTTGAAACAGAGGCACAAGACAACTCAGAAATGACTTATTACTGGTATGTTCTCTAACCAATCAGAACAAACATGTTACTTTTTCAACCAATCAAGAGCAAGAAGAAAACGACTGAAGTCGTGATTTGACGGACGCATGTTTTCCCGCGCTTTGCGTTGGTTACATGGTTATAGGGTTATTGGCGTTTGTTGTAATTTCATTACGTTTGGGTTTATCGAGTCAGTAGCCACGTCGGCAAGTCTGCATACAGCTGTTTCGAGAAAGGTTGTCGGAATAAAGCTTAAAAGGGCATTCGACAGTTCCGAAAGTTAGTATGGGTAGAAGTAGAGGGCTGCTGCACGCACTGAATTTTTAAACAGATCAAACAAATTAGCAAATGTCATTTCGTACATTTTCTTTATCTTAACTGGTAGAAGCAAGGTTCTCGCCACCTGAATTTTCTAAAAGTCATGTATCAGTGAAAGAGAAGCTACAGAAAAATGGTTGTATGAGTGGAAAGTGTAATGTATCCTTGCGGATACTTCACGTGCAAAGGTACAAATTTGTAGATTTGCTCTACACCGATATGCAAAATTCCAATGAATACCCAGACTCGTATGCTGGACACTTTCATCCGACAACCTTTCTCGAAACAGCTGTAGACAGTTATTGTCAAGGTCGAGTACAGTCCTTTAGTACGTGATTCTGTTTTAGCTGTTTTCGTTGTCATTGCTAGCTATTCGCGCTCATTTCTTTATTATGACATATTTTGAAGCTCTGAAAATTTTAAACGGGATGACTTTCATTTGGAAGTTGGAGGGAAAAGTTCGTTATTGCCTCTCGAAAGAATCATGTCACTGTTTAAGCGACGATTTTAATGGGAAAGCCAATACGTTGGAGTAGCAAAATAAAGTTTCTTGTCCGCTTAACGTCATTTTTACAGATCAAAGCTTGCTTTCTATAGCACTTCAGTTTCAGCATGTCGTAAATTTAATGAACGTCTATTTTTAGATTCTTCAGAGTAAATTGCAAGAAACTTTTTAAGGCTTGCCTTCCAACTTGTTTGCCGACCCATGAAAATGGATGTCAGAAACATGGCAAATTCTCCTGCACAGCTTTCTGTTCTCTTAAATCGATGAGAGCTTTGCTTTTTCGACCTTTAATTCACCGCTATATGTAAAACAGAAGAACCGACTGAGCCCACTGTGTTTGTCAGAGGTTGCTAAGTTACACTACGTAGATATCGTCCAACCTTGTTCCCAGGCTCTCTCTCCTCTGCATTTCTTGTAAGGACAATGGAGGCAGAGGATAGAGAAGAAAACCTGCTAACGAGGTTGAATATCGTCTTGGAAAACTGACGTCACAACTCTCCGAGTGCTCATGCCATTTTTTGGATTGACAAATAACAATCGGTACATTTTCGGGTGACGCCGCGTTCTTTCGTCTCGGTCATTCCTCACATTCGTTGTGGAACTTGGTTTTAACTAAATAATTCGACAGAAATAATACTTAACATTTTCACATGGTTTTCTGTAACAAAATGGTAAATATTTTTACAACTTCTCACGGAGCGGACTTTTGGTTTGTGTACTATACAATTTGTTATTGGAACATTTATATTTTTTAGCTTAAGTCAAGGTCTTTTGAATAAAGGTCTTGAAAGGGCATTGATGAAAATGTCTTTAAGAAGCACTAGCCATGTTTCTTTCAAGACGGTTTTTTCAAGGGCAGGACCTAGTAATAAGTGGAGATTTTTAGTTTCTTTGGAATAAAGTTGACATTCTGAATTTGATTCCTGATTTCCAGACTTGTCTTCTTGGAAGCTTTTTGTAGTATGACTGAAAGACTGATGAGTGTTTTTAACTTCACTTGGATCCCTCTAATTCGAACTCGGTTATTTCGAATTCCCCGTTATTTCGAACTTAAAAACATTTCCCTCGGATTTGCCCCTCAGTCATTTATTACTGACTATTTCGAACTATTTTTTGTTTCCCCTGGCAGTTTGAAATAGCGGGGACCAACTATAATTTATGCTGAAGCCGGTGAAATAATTGTCGTTACGGAAGTGTATGCGAAACTCGCCCGCGCGTTATACCAACATGCTCCTGTCGCCCTAATGAATGGTGCATGATTACACTTGAGTTCCCAGGGCCATCCCTTTGATATACAAACGAACCTCCCTGTGCGACCACCTCTCGTAAGCGACCACTTTTCCGAAAATTTCCGTAGTCAAAACACTATAGCTGAAACCTCAAGTATACTAGAGAGCTTGGGCAAACCATGTCGGCAACGGCAACGAGAACGCCACCAACCAAAAGGGGTAATGAGCAGAATAACGACGAAAAAAGACTACATGTGCATTATAAATGTTTGATACCGTCCTCGGCAGGACAACAACGTGAAATGATCAAGTTCTGCGAGTTTTTGAGAACGTAACCCACTACGGCAAATTTTTCGTATTTCCTTTTTGGACTTAGTTTTCAGACCGATTGACGTTCTGAACAAATTCAGATAGTTAACGAAATTCGAATGTAAGATATAAATTTATTTCTTTTTAAAGAAGCGTCGTTCCTGGCGTCGCCGTCGTCATTGCTTTAGGCCCCTTACCGGAGTACGCGACAAACGGCGAGGTGTGACTGGGATGCAAAGGGTCGAGGTACCAGTATACTGACCCCCACGGTTGGGTCACATTGAAGGTGCTACGTAAATTGACGCCTTAGCGAGGCCCTTTGCACCCAGTCAGACGGAGTTAAAATCAGTGGAGAAAGGCAATGTAGAAGGTAAAAGAAGGGAAAAGAGGAGGGGGTGAGGAACGTTCAAATGTTGCAAGGTAGACAGCGGACAAACCCTTGGGGGATGCTCCCATATATGGGCTATATGGGTATGTGCCGTGGGATAGGGTAGGAGTATTGAGGTCCTCGATCCTTGAATAAGGTATCATTATTGCCCCCGTTGGCATTGTGTTCCCGATGTGATCCTCAGATAGGGTACCTAAATAGACCAATTTTGATGTATTAAAATTCAGCCTAAAGCAAGACCTCAATACGAGGCTCTGGGGAATAACTACAGAGTTTGTGGGGTTTATTTCCCCCAGCCTCGTGCTGAGGTTTATTGTGTTAGGCTGAATTTTAATATATCAAAATAGGACTATTGTATCCGCTAAAATTGCCGTGCGTAAATGCCCAGCTAAACGAGAAACAAATCATCTGTTAAAACTGAACTATTCGTATATATGCGTCCAAGTTTACAAACGAAATAAAGTTGTGCCGTCCACGCTATTCTTAGTTTTTACTTTTCCCTTCAATAGGGTGTCATTTTTCGGGTTTGGGCCTTAAAAAGGGTGTCATTTTTCTTGTCCTTCACCCTTAAATAGGGTCAAGGTTTACGACCCTTTGTGGCACACACCTATCCAAAATTTACGGAAGAACCCAGGGGGAGGGGGGTAGGGCGAACCGAGCGTGTTTAGTGGCCCAACGGGCCATCAAAAATTGGCCGTATCAACGGGATAGAGTAAAATTTCTATTTTAAGTGACATCTTGGGCTCGTCGCTCATGTGGGAGGAAAATTGCATGACAAGGTGACTTTCACAGCATTCATAAGGTAGACCCTCAATCAGACATTAGGTGCATCTGTTCGCAATATTTCCTGTACTTTAGCTCGTGAAATCCCTACCCCGTCAAATCCCTCCAGCCAAAACCAACTCTCTAAACAACACAATAAATGATTGATTGGTCAATGTTTATTCAACAGGCCAGGGCCTCGCACAGTCAGTGAGCTAGGCCTTCAATTTGCCATAATTTTGACAATTAACTTTTTACAATACTTTATAATGTCTTACTGCAAGAAAGTAATTCTAATTGGTGATATCTTACACAAATTATTTTCAAAATATTCATTTATATAGATCTCACAACTATTCTTTAAACAGATGCAACAATCATTATTTGAGGCTAAAGTAGGCAAAGAGTTTGAGTCACAAATTTTCCACCATTCATGACCACTTCAATTTGTTAATACTGACAATGACTATCTATCTGTGATGTTGATCACATTAATTTATTTTAAAGTATAAAATTTTATTTCACACAAAACGAAAAATAATTTAATTTGACTACCACTACAATTCAATTCATTTTTTAATATCTTTTTTGCCTTTGGTTCAAAGGGTCATAAAGAACACTTTTTGGAGAAAAATAATAGAAACTGCAAGGCAGAGGGAAGGTTTTTGTTCTTTGCAGGTCACAAGAACACAGGTCACCTAGTAGCCCAGGGGAACTCCCATATAAAGTGGACAGGGGTGCTTATTGGAAATTTTGAATAGAACCCCTAAGAGGTACCAATCCCCTGTTTTGTGGGCATGACTTCAAAATAAATTCTTCACCCCAAAGAGTTCCCCCCCAGCCTAATAGTTGTGGTTGTGCTTATACAACAAGCCTACTACATATCCCACCAAATTAATCACAGAACTGTTAAAATTATCATGTCACAATCACAATCCTACTACGGTTCTCAATGTGTCTCACTCTACAAAACATTACTTGGGCAATACTTAGCAAGTCTTACATTCAGTTAGTCCAGATTTCCTCAAAGATAACATTTCAATGTCTGTCACGCAATGTAATGCCATTGTCGGCAACAACATGTAGTTATAGTTACACTGTGGCCAGTGGAATGTGAAACCTGTCCAAGACATTTTGAGGAAACTGCATATCAATGCAAAGAGATGCAGTAGTAGAAGGTAACTAAAATTCAAGTTCTAACTGTCATGAAATGATTGCAATTGTAAGATAGAAAATATTCATAGAGAGCTTAGGAACCACACGGTTTTACAGCCCACTACAATGGTTCAGCATGTACATTGTACAACTAGATATTGTCCGATTCCTACAAAAAAAATCTATGCATGTCATCCCCCAGTTTACATTAGTTTATTATTGCCTTCACATGTCTTGACGAACTAATGAGGGAGTTAAAAGGACTGTGAGTCTATCAGCAAATCCTGTATTGCAATTTACCATTCATGTACTGTGACATCTGTGTAAGAGGCTTCAAAGTTTGATTCTGTGTACCGTTTGGTCCAGGAGCTCTCCTTATGCAATAACAACTCCTCAACCTTGAGGCCTTTGCAATCTTGGCAAACTGCCCCCTGATTGAAATTTATACATGTGTATTTCTTTACATGTCTTCAGTATCACCTATGACTCAAATAAATAATCTCTGATGCCTTCAATCAAAACTGAACTGCCATTTCTGAGAGGCTGTGTCATCACAGATCTCCATCTTCACAGAGGATGATCCCACCAAGGCCATGCACAAACCAGACGCTGTGTGGTACAGCTGAAGAGTCTTCTGAAAAGAAAACAAGGCAATCAGGTTCCGAGCTTGAAGAACAAATTAAATCTCCTTGTGACTTACTATGCCTTTGTGAGAAAGGAGGGGTGTAAAGGGTGATTGAATTTTGGGAGCCAGGGAGGCCAATATCATCAGGTTGGGCTAACTGGATCGCTGTTGTGCCATTTCATCACTATGATATGCTATTTCATGTTTTGAATACACCCCTAAACGTTAACACCAGGGTTCTCCCACAAATTTGAAGTACATGGAGAATGTTTTGTAGTATGCAGTGCTGAGCACTTTCAATGCCCTCCCCGCCTGAACGATGTGATAACGCTTAGATTCCAAAGACAGTGTCCCATTTCCACCAGGATCCGAGTAACCTGTACCAAATAGCATTAATATATGGATTTAGCCGAGCCTAAAAGCCGAGCTCCTGGGCCGGGTTGGTCAAGGCCTGATTAGCCTGATCCAGGATAAGCAAGAATTTTGTTTTGAGTTTTGTAACTTTGTAGTGAGGTTTTCTGTATATTGTTTGGCCTTCTGTTTTGAGTTTGAATAATCTCAAACTACACAAAACAAAAGCAGTGAGAAACATTTGTATACAAGGAAAAAATTTAAATACTTCAGTGAACTTTCAATCCTGGGTTAGTGTTGACCAACTTCTGAACAATGAGGCCCTGATTACAACAAGTTAACCTGGCATGAGTCCGTGATCCAATCGAAACCAGCACTTGGTCAGCGGTCAACTTAAAAAAGTGCACTCGATAAGCTCTTAACTTGAGCCCATGATATGGTCACATGATACTGGTCAGCGATACCTTGTTTTCACAGGTGTCAGTTGACCATAACATGGATGTCCAATATCAAAAAAAGGCCGCGTGTCTGTCCACCTATTAGCTGGAGTATGGCCACCATCTTGCACAACTCTGTCGTCACCGTTGTCCGTACATGCCCACAAGCAATACTGCTAGCCATGATAACCATGAGAAAATCAATTCATGAGTTTCCTTTTCTTTCCTATATGGGTATGGTTCTCCACTTGGTGGACCGTCACTCCGCTATTAATTTGGCAGAATAGACCCTTTGCATAAGTGTGGCTAAATTTGAATAGCAATACTTTGTACATCCCTAGCCTTGAACTTATTTTTCCAGACAAAGGAATGAGAGGCTTAGGATGTATAAGTATTGTTATGCAAATTTAGGCACCATTTATGCAAAGGGTCTATTGAGCAGCCAGTGGCACTGAGGTATTTATGAAACATTGCTACTCAAGCGCAGTCATTTTGATGGTTGCTTAGGCCTTAAATAAATGGCTGAATTGACAGAAGTACCGTACCTTATTATGTCGCCATTCCTGAGTTTCTCCTTGACCATGACACTTCATGACTTTCGGCACCTTGCTATGTCTCGTGACTTCCAGACAAAGCAAACTATCGATCTTTAACTCATTGTCTTGATTTAGAGACCAGAACTGAAAAGTTAAAACATTCTACATGAGCTAACTAAAGAATCTGCAAACCTGCTCCAATAAAAACTCTAGACACTCACTGAAGTCAAATTATTTGGTGAGAACTGTTTGGACATTATAAATAAAACAACACAGTCAAGAAATTCACAAATAATGTGTTTTGCATTCTCTGCAGGGCAAGATACTTTGTTATCACTGTATATTTCTCCATGCACCCATGAGTGGATAAAAGTCATACTTATTGTCATGGCAAACTGACAAAATTGATGGGGGGAGGGGTGGGGAGTGATCTGTGATGGACTAGCATCCCATCCAGGGGAAGTAAAATTCTGACATGCAACACAGTATTGAAACAGTGTCACAGAGACCCACAAAATGATGATGATGAACAACATGACTTGTAGAACTTTGGAAATTGCGACATGAAAAGGCTGGAAACTCAGATGGGAGACATGCAGAACAACCCTGACAGGGTGCCTCATTTTATGTTACAGAACCTGAAATTAAGCACTCACATTACTAGGCCACTTAAACTGAAAAAAAAAACAAGTTATTTATTTTTTGTTCATAAGTATTTCTTAGTTAACGGCTGTCAGTAAATAATCATTGCAAACAACTTGATCCCTGAAGTCAGAACTCACCTTTGCGTTAGTTTCATGGCAACCATGTAGCAGAACAGATGCTTTCTTTTCACTTGAATGACCAGGTGTGTCAAGACACAAGGTCAAGCTGCCTACATTCAGAAGCTGTTGAGTCAACGAAAGAGAGTGACGTCACAAGAATTATTAACACAAGTGTACTGGTAGTCCACAGGACTCTAACTGATGACCAAAATTTAGATATAAGCCAGTGAATACTGAAGGTATATTATGTAGTCAGAGCTTTTCTAAATAACCAGCAATTGAAGGGTTTTCAAGCTTCTAAACTACCAACCTCTGCCTACATGTACCAAGTAAGAATTAAAATTCACTAATGGAAATTTGCTTGCTTTCTTTGCTTCAAGATTCCATTCTTGAAATCAATATCTCATTCTAAATTCAAACGGCAAAATATAATAAATAGCTTGATGTAAATTGCATAATTGTGGTAGCTTCACACCACGGGCATGGAAGAGCTCACACCAACGTTCAATATGCCAAAATTCTATCACTGTGCTCTCTCCTCCCATGTTTTCCCTCTCCAATCTTGCCCAAACAAAGGAAAGGCATTTGGTGCAAAGAGGCTCAGAAGTCCCAGTGGGCAAGAGAAACAATCTACACATGTTGCTGTTAAGGATAACTTCCGAATCTCTGTTTCCGTACAGAATTCCTTTTTGCACTGTCATAGAAATTGATAACATTTACGTACAGCTTTTAATCCACATCATTGCCCAAATAATTTTAAATGCAAACAAATCTGCCAGTACAACCCCCCTACAACCATAAACCCAAGACGGGCTTTTAACTTGCATCACTTACATTTCCCTTCCTTGTAATCACAGAGCTTCTTTGCGCTGATTGTTTCCAAGTGGCACCAGCCCCACCTCCACCCTCTTGAGGAAGCATCAGTTCAGGATAGACATTCTCCACGTACCACTTAAAACCCTTGCAGTTTAACCTCTTTCTTAATGCCACTCTAGAACTCACATTCCCAAATGTTCTTCCCATCAAATTTTTCTTTGTTTGGTAGAAGTATTTCTTGTAGTCATCAAGCCAGACTTCAGCTACTCTCATGGAGTTATAAGACATGGTGTCACCTTGCGAGTCCGATCCGTAAGGCCGCCACTTGCGGAACAGATGTCCGACTCTGGAGCAGGGGATGATCTCAAGGGTCCCACCACACATCCAGATCTAAATAATAAAATAGCAATTAACTAGTTAAAAGTAGTTTTGACTTACGAGACAACCTCAGAGACACATATCTCTCTTTACATGCTGAATATTGTGGGTTCCCTTGACAGTGACATCTGAGATGTGACTCTATATAAATTCCAAACTTCTGGCGTGTAAGTAACAACCAATTGGAGTCAAGGCACAAATGTTTATAGAGCTATGTCATAAGTATAAAATCCCCTCAGTGGGAAACATGTTAAAAACAAGCATGTTTTGGAATCACCATGGTACAAAATATGTTTTCTGAGAAATAAGGGCCTGTTTACAAGGAGAGAGGGTTACCCTGGCAAGTAGGTTACCCTAGCACTCACACATTTCCGCTTTTGTTATTTGTCCTGTTTACAAGACAGCCAGGGGCGGCTTACCCTATCTGCGTGCTAGGGTTACCCTGGCAGGCAGGTTAACTTTTTCCCTTGTAAACACTCCAGGGAGGGTTAACTGCCTACCCGGGTTAACCTACCTGTGAAATTTAGCTTGTAAACCTGGGCTATCTTTTGCCCTCCGGCTAGGGTTAACCCGCTTGCTAGGGTAACCCTCCCTCTTGTAAACAGGCCCTAAGTCAAAGTTGTAACTCACATCATTCAGTATTTCAATGATTTTCAGAAAGTTGTTAGCCCTCCCACTTCCTCCTACTCTAACCCTGTAGCTAACGCTAAACCACAAGCGACACTTGGGTAATTTCCCGAGCTTCCTAGCACGTGTTCCCAAAAAACATGTGTGTTTGCAAAAATGTGATGCGAACGTCAGATTTAGAGCAGTCAAAGTTGTCTTGCTAGTTTTGTTCTACAATGGAGCACTCTCCTTAGATTCCTTTAGATTTCGACCAGTCCATTACCCTCATCGCTGGACAAAGGTAATTTGTAGCTCAATTTCGATCTGTTTTTATTGTGCCTTCATAAGATTTTCATGTATTTTGTCAAGACAAGCCGACATGCAAACGGTTCGTTTTCTCATAGATTTCTTTGTCATGTATTACTTCCTAGTTTTACGCTTCTTTCTGTAACCTGTTTAGGATATTGAAAGGAAGTTGTAATTCTGCCAGCATAGTGATACTGAATTGTTTGGATTGAATTTGGACCTATTTATCGTGCGAAAGGTCGCCAGTAAAAAACCCCCACACCCACCCCCTAACCAAAATACGGTTGTCAATGTATTAAATTATGTGCTTGGACATAAACACTCATAGCTGGCTAACTTGACAGTGAACTGAAAGTTTCAGTAATTTGTATACCAGGCACCCATCCTCAACATACTTGTACTTGGCTAGCTTACCCTGAACGACATCTCCAAATTTTCACCACCCCAGATGTTCATTCCTTCATCATATTGACCAAGTTGGTTGAAGTAGTTCCGATCCATGGCGAACAAACCTCCAGCCATGGTTGGAGACCTGTAGAAATAATAAAGTGTATCTGTTATACAATGTATCATGTGACTTCTTTTCTGGGGGGACCCCAATATAAGTAAAAGGATATACACAGCAGAAATTTCTAAAATACAGACCCATACAGCTCATCTGGTACCTTCAAGAAATTTCTAGAGACACGGCTCATTAAGTTTCTTATAACCACCTAGGACTAGAGGAAGCACTGCAGACTTTATGTGACACTCATGGGCTTTGAGCAACATCCAAGACAAAAATATACTTGCAAACTCTCCGCACTAGGATTTTGTAAGTTTTGGATGTTGATTTAGATATAAAGTCTATCTCCGTCAGTTCAAATGTTTCATACATTATCTTTTATATCTTCGCCATCTATGAGTAATATCAAATATTCACAAAATGACCAACTCCCCATTGGCTGGATAGTTGGTTAAAGCACTGCACCAGTATTGCAGAGGTCATGGGTTTGAATCACTTTCATGGATGACTTTTTTTCAGGCTTAATTTTCCAACTGCTTAAAGTTGCATACATAACTGCAATGATCTCTCATGTCTTAAAATAAATTTAAATTATTCCTTGACAACAGTTCTTGTTTATCAGTGACTTAGATTTATTGCAGTTTTATTTATAGAGCCCCTTCCCCCAGCTCTAACTGACTATTTAATATTAGTATAAATCTACTAGCACTCCATCATGAATGCTGCTCTCTGATTAGCTACGTTATTCACTATCTATTCTTTGATAGATAGTGAGTAGCGTAGCAGTATGCCCTTGTTAACAAAATGTTGGCCACTTTTTGGCATTTTGGAAGCATCTGTGAAGAGGATTTAGATAAAGTTTTGAATGACTAGTAGATTTTTACCACAAAAAAAAAATGATTATTTGTGATCGATGTCTATGCACAGCCCTTGTCAACTATCACGCAATAGAAATCTCAAGCTCATAATCTAAGTGTTAAAATATATTTGACAAATCAGAATTTGAAACAACAATTAAAAAAAAAAAAAAAAAAAA